ACTTTCCCATTTTAATAGAATGTGCCTACATCCACATGGAAATGTCATTTGTGTCCTAAAGGCAAGTCAACCTGTTCAATTATGACTCTGTAATCTTATGGCTGATATTGTCTAAGGAGGTCCATAGTTACATAACTTTATAGCTAATTTTTGTTTAAAAATGCGGCTGTTTGACCAAATTCAAATGCATGAGGAGTAACCCTAACTCTAACTGTCAGATGTTTTAGGGTGATGCTTGTTTTATCTTTCTAGTGTTTGAAACCATGCATGGTCCAGTTTTATCTTACATGCTGTATGTAGGATAGGTTTTGTAGTTTAAATAGACATGTCTCTGATCATTATCAATTCAGATTTAGATATACAACCAATGCAAAACTAATAGAAACAAGCTAGTTCACAAAGCTAGCTCGGTTCTGAGCTGCCCACTGGATGCAGTTGAGGAGACGTGTGAAAGGAGGATGCTGGGGAAGATGGCCTCCATCTTAAAAAACCCTCCCACCCACTGCGTTCCACTGTGGAGACCATGGACAGCTCCTTCAGAGGCAGGCTTAGACATCCCAGACGTAAAACAGAACGCTACCGTAGATCATTCATCCCCTCTGCAGTAAGAGTGTATGGCTTATCAGTTTGAGCTGTACTGGCAAACGATAAGAAAGTCTGGATGATACAAACTTTTCAAGGTTAAACCTCAAAGGTAAGAAACTTTTTGGAGATCTGCTGGGGAAAATGATTTTTGCTTTTGTAACTCCCCGGCTTCTATCTCTAAATTTTAGGAGTAGAATCAATAGGGCTTTAGCCTCAACTTAGGTGGATAGAATGTGTGTAAAGTTTTATTTTTAGCAGCGTTAGAGACAGAAATGAAGGCAAAAACCATCAAATGTGAAAAGGGGTTTACGATCATTCATTTGATTGTAGTTTTAGTTGTGTTTGAAGCACATAAAAGAGGTTTGCAGGATCTTGTAGCTAAGGTTGTGATGTTTTTTAGAGATGCTGCTTGATATTTAGGGCATGTATTTAGCTTTTTAAACTTGAATGCCCCACAGTTGAGGAGTGAGCACCACCTCACCCCCGCCACATGGACCCAAGGGATAAACCATCAACCCTGCTCAATGGTAAACTTTCCTCACGGGGTCACACCCATTAGGACAGTGGGAGGGTTAAATAATTAGTGTTTTTTTTTTCTCCACATTACACGTTACATAAATACCACACAGTTCTGACCAAGATAAAACATGTTCAACTCTTGTTTATTTCACTCATGTCTTTGGGACTTTGGGACTTAAAAACAGATTTTCAGAAGTGTCAGGGTGAATCAGTGAGAATTGTTTTGTAATTTTATAATTAAAGAGCCATTCTCATCATGGCTTTATTATTCATCTTTTTCTGGTGTCAGACATCAGAACGAGATATTGCATTGGATTGTCATAACTAAATAACAGACATATATTAGTAAGTACAAAGCAGATATCCTTCACTCACAATGAAAAAAACTATATCACATATGGTGATTTCTCAACCCACAGTGCTTAGGAATTTATTTAACATAAATTAGATCAAAAAGAGATAAACTGAGGAGAAAAATCTGAAAGGAAAATCTTTTACTGGTATCCTTTTTTCTTCTGAAAAGTTGCCCATTTCTTTGAAACACTTTGGATTACTATGTCCTGGATGACTTACAAAGAAAGACTTGGATGCTTGTTGGCTTCTGGCTCCTGTTAGATTCTCAGTAACATGCCTCTGTTAATAGCATGCTGGTATGTGTTAAGGGAAATATGTTTTATTTAATGTGTCCATTTTAGTCAAATGAAATTCTCTTTAAAGCTTTTCGACTAAGTGACTGTTTCATTGGCTCTCAAAAGAGCAGCAGGCAGTGAAAACACTTTTGTTGTTGTTTTAGTTTTATTATTTGGGTCTTCCAGGTAATGTTAATGTTAAATATTTTACACAAATAATGAATAATTAGATTATTTTTTAATCCATGTTTTTGACATATCAATCATCACTAAAAGTGTAAATGTTCTCAATCAATTGCACTTGCATATTAAGGTGAAGGAAAAGTATGTCAAAGTTTTGTAGTGCACTAATACTTGTGGATAATAAAACTGGGGTCCATAGCATGAAGTCTCTTCTGAAGCAAAGCCTCATGTTGTGCAAAAGCAGGGATAGTAGAGTCAACAAATTGGTAAAACAATAGTTCGATGTAGCTTAAAGAGCAAGTCACCCCCTACCAGAGTCTTACTCCACTCCCACTTCCTGTTTGAAAAATGCAACAATTGCTATTGCCTAGCAGACTGAGAGGGCAGAGCCACTAACAAATACACACACGCACACGGGCTCATAACAACATTGTGACATCATAATGTACTAGCTAACGTCATAGTGTACCTCTTAGCCAATAGCGATGGCAGATTTAAATTCAAATGCAGTGTAGATATTTTACCTGAAGACGGTGCAACATTGACAGTTTTAGGCACAATATTTAAAATTTAATTAAGATGCACTAAAGTGCCAAATTATTGACTACACGTGTCTTCCGCACAATTAGACACTCATTTATAAAGTTTATAAGCAAAAAAAAAAAAGTTTATTTGGGGGTGACTTTCTCTTTAATGTTGGACGCTACACTAATCACTTAGCTCCATTTCACAAGAATCCCTTTCCATTCCCCTCCCTCCTCTTCTACAGTTAGCTTGACGTTTGCAGATTGACAATAATTGAATGCAAGTTGAATTAGCAATCAAGCTAACGCTATATCAGCCAACAGTAAATGCAGCATACAACAACTATCTGCACTACTATTTAATTTATTTATATAAGATTTCAGTTACCATTCTTCAAAACACAATAGATAACTTTATTTACCTGTTCAAGCAAAACTTTGCCAACTTGTCATCAGTTTATTGCTCTTGTAGACCACAAAGCTTCCCACCTCTTCTAAAAGCATCTCTAAAGTAAATTCTACTGGACTGCCGTAAACATCTCAGCATGTTTTGCAGAAGGACTGTTTATAATCTCCTTGAGATGTAGAAGGCAGTGAAGGATTATGTAACCTCAGTACTTGTTTTTGTAGCTCCTTTGCAAATATCTCGCTTCTTCTTTGTTGGTGTGCTAAACTGACTGAAGCACGTCACCCGTTGATTGACAGCTCCCTCTTGTGGATGCATAAATCTATTAGTCAACCTCTAAGTTTATGTAAATGATTATTTAGCTGAAGAAGCCAGTGGGTGGACTTTAAGCATTTTTCCGTTAATTAAAGGGATTCTTTGCATTTTTTTCATATTTTTTAATAATTTTCTTGAGCCATTATGTGCTAAAATGACCCTTTACAGGGTTAATGAAATGTCACCCAGGCCCTATCACCACCTGTGGCCAGAATACTCCACTTGCAACTTCACAGTTGCCAGTCCGGTCTGTTGGAAAAAAAGAGCTTACATACTTGGCACTGCACCCTGGTTTCCGCATGTTTCCTGCTTGTTTTAGATCATGAACACAGCTGATTTGTTTAATTTAGTGATGAATCTCTCATATAGACTCTAAGGAAGGCTGGGAGACATTTCAAATGTTAGATTAAGGTGATAAAAAGATGAATGAGCACGACAAGATACGTTTTAGTTTTGGTTCTACAAACGAGCACAAGAAGATGCTAAAGCAAGCCAAAACTGCCTGGTCTCTCTTTAAATATTTTTTAAACTACATTACATTGCCTAAATAGTTTTGAAGTAATCTTTTCATCAAACAGAAAAGTAGATTGACTATAACTATCATATAATCCTTTAGCAATTAAAGAAGACATTGATTCAGTCGTTAGGCTTCTCTACGATGATTTGAAATTATGTTTATTAATATGGCCGATGCTTTTATCCAAATCTATGTACAATAGTTAACCTACAGGGCATGTTGTGATCTGTGGGCTAAACCGGAGTCCCTGGAGGAAACCCACGCATATACGTATGGAGAGAACATGCAACTCCACGCAGAAAGGCCACAGCTGAGTTTCGAAACTGCAACCTTCTTGATGCGAGACAACAGTGCTAACAACAACATGCTTGTACTTCAGGTCAAAGATTCAAAAGTTTTTAATGTCATGTGGCAATGAGACACTGCACATAATGTTATTGCTGGCACTTGGACATCCTGGTGCGTTCAAATGCCTGGTCAAAAAAGTCACCATCAAAAATAAGGTTACACTCTAACATTTCATTGGCCTACCATCAGTTGTGACACAAATTTGCTGTGGCATTCCAAAAAACTTCTGCAACTTTGGGCAAAAAATTTCTCCTCAAAATAGTCCCAAATGAATCTTGGCATCTGGAACCTGCTTAGAATCAATTTAGCTGTCTTGAGTCAAAAAAGCAAGACATTGTGAATAAAATGAGAGTAGCTTGTAAACAAACCAAGACGCTTTCTAACAACATTACAAGAAAATTAATTTGTTTGCGATTATGCTCAAGAATGTTTGCTAGTGTTGAACGCATAACATTTTGTAAAAAGGTAACAGGTGTAATCTCATATAAATGTTAACATCCTTTCACATATCAGTTACTAATGACAGTACAGTAGGTTCTATCTTTAAATATGTCCTCCACTCATATTTAAAAAAAATTTACATTAGTAGTCTATAGTAGTTGTATGTCATACTCTGGGGAAAAAAAGCTCTGGTGCGTCTGTTTCAGGCACTAGAAAATTGCCACATCAGAGGAGAGCTTCAAACGGTAGGATTTGGTGTCTTATTTCCTGATATTTGGACATCTGCCCTCTGATTGGCTAACAGCAACCTAACTCTACCACTGATTCCCTTTGTTCTGCAATGCTGAGGTTTTATCTAAAAAAAAAACACAAAATTGAAGGAGTTCTGCTATGTTGCTGCTAATGCTAACAGTTAGCTTCTACTAGCTGGGAGATCCTCTACTGTTACCTGGACACTAAAACAACAACAGCCTTCCCCATCTTGAGTCAAGATGGGTCAGTCCATGAATGTTTAGTGACAGTGTGATGTAGATCTGTCAGGCTTTTCAAATCCTAGAGCTTCACCATCTATTTTCTATCAGGAGCTAACTAGGAAGTAGATGTAGGAGACAATTTTTACATTCAGGCTACATGCTTAACTCCGAATGATCTATCATTTTCAAAATTAATAATAAAATATTGTTTCTCAGTGAAGGTCGTCTTAATAAGATCTTCTGGAATATGCTTTGTTTCAACAAGATTCAGACTACTGTTCTCATGCAAATCCTCACAGCTTTAGAAATGTTTTTATTTCTTTTTCTCATAACCATACCTTATTTTTAAGTCCACACATAGATTTTCACACTAAATGTCATGTTTATACTGCTGGAATGCAGAGTGAGTTGTGGGACACAGGTGCATGACTTTCTGAACTATGCATGCATTCATTTTACAGCTGGTATAAAGAAGTCGACTTTTCACCACACATGAAAAAAATTGCTTTCTTTATACATTTTCAAAAACTCAGGTTTAGACAGGGGGCATGCTTACTATCTTATGATTGAAGAAATAAGACAATAAATATCAATAACGTGTATGGATTCTATGTAATTTATTTTTTTGAAATTTTTTTTATTAAGGCAAGAACTCTACAAAAACTGACATTCAAAAACAGCCGTATGAGCTCACTCAACACAATCTACTACAGCAATTGCAGATGTAACCTGGGTCTGCAGTAGGTAAGGAGGAAGCCATACATCAGCTGTGTTCAGGAACACCCAGGAGTTCTCCTCACACAAGCACATCCAAGCAGGACAAAAAGACAGTCGACATGTTCCAGGGTCATCTGAGTCCACAACCCAGCCTGCCTTTGAAGGAAAATAACAGACATGGGGTCTTTATTGTGCCAAACATGAAGAAAAATTTCCGGGCTGCTATCAGTGAAAGATAGATGTGGATATGTATTTACATTTTTTGGAAGATATATGTAGTAGAATGCTAACATGAAAGTGATCTGTTTTCCCAGCAGGTCTACGATTATCAACAGTGTAGCTTTTTGGACAATGACTGCATGTGTCTGTCTGGTCTGCACGCTTATAGATCTTTTTCATCATGAAAATAATTTTGTGAGAAAAATACACATTTCTTCTGCATAGTTATGCCAATAAACATCTTTGATGTCTTTGTGCTTTTGTTTGTTAAATGTGTGGAACACTGAAAAAAAACTTTTAAATATTATTTCTGATTATAATCAATCATTCTCAGTTTTTTATGCAGGCTGAACATGAAAATAATCTCCTACACCTATCTCCTGCATTAGCTTCTGATAGAAAACAGCTGGTGACACTCCAGGATTTGAAAAGCCTAACATATCTACGTCACACTGTCACTTAAGATCCATGAACTCACCCATCTTGGCTCACAATGGGGAACGCTGTTTCTAATCATCCAGGAAACGGCAGAGAACGTCTGGGCTAGTAGAAGTTAACCCTTAGCATTAGCAACTCCACCACACGGCAGAACTCCTTCAGGCTTGAGTTTTTTTGGGGGAGATAAAACATCAATATTGCAGAGCAAAGAGATTCAGTGGTACAGTTGTGTGTCTGTTAGCCAATCAAAGGCAAGATGTCTTAATTATCAGGAAATAGGACTCCAAATCTTGTCGTCTGAAGCTACTTTCTACTCTGGCTGAATTCTGTGCTGAAAAAGACGCACCGGAGATTTTTTCCCCTTTTAGTAAAATTCACTAGACATTCATTCCTGCTAGAGACCACTGCACATGTATTGAAAAAATGGGTGAAGGACGTTTTTAGAAAGCATCTCAGATTAGTGAAAGATTTCTAGCAATTTAGCAATTTCCAAACAGTTAGGCGACTTATATTTTTCCTCACATCTTATGTGTTTTATTCACATTTTGTTGAACACAAAATTCTGATTTTTACATCTTTTACAGCAAAATATTTTAAAAATCTTTTAAAGACCAATAGTTGCTACAGCTTTTCTTTCACGTAGACTGTGCTTACAACCTCCCATCATGGGTGAGTCATTTAACTCACCAAGTTGCTTTTCAGAGGGCACTCACATGCAATGCATATGGTACTTTGTTGGATATCCAAATACGAAAGGAGCTTATTTATTTTGAGGGAACCTGATACTGTTATTCAGTATCATATAATCGGATCAAGATGAAAGATTGTTATACAAGAGAAAAGAGAGAATGTTATGAAGCAATAGATATGTCATGTTAACCGAGTCCAGCTTGTTTGACCTCAAAGATTGGCTTCTCCTTAAAACGATGTGTGTAATTAAAGTTGACCCAAACAGGCGTGTATTGTTATTGGTGGTGAAAACACGGGTTTCCTTTTTTTTTTTTTTTTTCAAAAAAGAAAGTCAAAATGATTGAGCTTTACCAGGTTTGTTGTTCGAATTTTTGGCACGGCTATCAAACTGAGCATTCCCGTTGCATTACATGGGGGATTTTAGTGGAAGATGGTGAAAACAATTGAGGTTTGGATGATGCAGTGGTTCCCTGTTTTGGTCTTTTCTCTGTAAATGCCTCCCTTCCAGCCAAATGTATTAACAGGAATCAAAGCTATTGCTAAAATATATTCAGGACAATGTAAAATACAATTAGGGATGGGAATAAAATGAGACTGACATTTTGAAATGGAATACTGGGAATAACAGTCTATCATACAAAAGTTCACACTGCAGTATATCATGCAGAAGATCTGACTTGCAGAGTGGCCTTGCCACTGCTGGGTTTGATTTCTTGCTTGTCAGTTTCTTGTGAATTTTGCATGTTCTCCCCATGTGCAGATTTCCTTTTGACCTCTCCAGTTTCCTACCATGCAGATATGGATACTGATTTAGTGTGCTGAAATAAAAAGGAGCTAAGCCATAAGGTGAGGACTTGAATTCTAAAGTCGATCAATGATCCAGGTCTTTCACCTATGGTCATGAAATTTAGGTAATGATTGAAATAACTAGATCACAAATGCAGTAAACTGCTGGGTATCTCAAAGGGCATCTTCACTTCAGACTCAGTCAGTGCATTTACATGCACATCAGAAAACCAAACTGTTGCCCTAAATAGACTGATGTTGTTTTTATTTTTTTATTTTTTATGCATGTAAAAGCTTTAGTCTTGTTAAAGGCCAACTGGTTCTAATCGAGCCGAAGCACCCAGCTGATGTGGTAGGAACCCAACTTCATCTGCATGTAAGGCTCAGTCGAGCTGAAAAAGATACCTTCCGATAGTGACGAAACCGTGGAAGTGGTCTTCTGATAAAATCATCACAGATGCTAGAGGACATCAATACATATAAAACACTAAAAAAAGATCCAACAGAAGACATTAAGAAAAACATGAAAAAAACTTACTGAAACCACTAGAAGAAAAAGGCAAAAATATACAACATAATCCCAAGAAGCTTTGGAAACCCCAAAATACGCAAACAGAACACCCGCTTAGACCAATAGTAGACAGCAAAAGTACACCAACATACTATATGGCTAAAGAAATCAGTAAAATCCTCAGCCCACTATTGGGTAACACATCATAGCAAAAACAGCACAGAACTGGCAAAAGAACTAAAAAAAGGTTACAACAGAAGACAACAACATACTAATTTAATACAACGTTACATCCTTGTTCAAAAAAGCACCAACCCAAATAACCATCAACATATTAAACTGAATCAGACAGGATAAAACTTTACACAAAAGAACAAACCTCACAACAGATGACATAGAACAACTGATAAAACTGGTTGCAAAATCTACATACTTCACATACGAAGGAACAATATGCAAACAACTAGAAGGCTTCACCATGGGTAAAACAAAAACAACGTAGCCACTAAAAGTGATAGGTTTTCCAACAATGCTTGAAGGCGGTTGGAGGCTGAATATAGTTGTGAGTGCTCAATAAGTAGTCGCTTGACTAGTCACTCTGGACAGCCACAGACCTGCGTTAGTTCGCCTCATGTTTCCCGTTGATTGTCACAATTCTGTTCATGACAAGAAATTGTCAGCCCAAAACCACACAGTGAGGCCTGGGATTTAGAAATAAGGTAAGGAGCTCTAACATCTGTGAGGGACTTGAAGTAGAGCTGCTGCTCCTCTACATCATGAGGAGCCTGCTAAGGTGGTTCAGGCATATGGTTAGAATGTCCCCTGGACACCTCTCAGGGGAATTGTTTCTGACATGTCCTTCTGGGAGATGATCCTGGAGCCGATCCAGGGCATGCCAAAGGGATTAAGTCTCTTTATGTTGGCCAAGAAATTCATTGGAGTCCTACTGAAGGAGCTGGTAGACGTGGCAGCAGATCGAACGGCCTGGGCTTCCTTGCTGGGGCTGCTGTCCCAATGACTAAAACCTTGATAAGCAGATCACAATGACAACAGATCGTTTGACATAAGGCAACATGACACAATATGCAAACTGGTATGTACTGTACATGTGCATATGTTAAAGATATGGTCTAATGCATTACAGTACAGAAAATACATTATAGAAAAAATATTACTATACAATTCCGTATACAATACAATGTATTTAGGTGTGATACAGTACAATACATTGTGATACAATGCAATGATATATCATGATGCGGCAGAAAACAATACAAGATTAATCAATTGAATACCATATATTGCAGTTTAAAGAATTGCCTTTATTAAACAATCCCAAAAAAAACTATTATTGTTTAGTAGTTTTCAACTACTAACAACAGCTGCTGTAGAAAAAAAGACATAATAGAAACTCAGAAAATAAAGCTGTTCCCAAAAGTTAAATGAATAAGTTTGGTTTTTATGTGTGTGTGTGTGTGTGTGTGCGCGCGCACGCGTGTGTGTGTGTGTGTGTGTGTGTGTGTGTGTGTGTGTGTGTGTGTGTGTGTTTGTGTGTGTGTGTGTGTGTGTTTGTGTGTGTGTGTGTGTGTGTGTGTGTGGTGTGCATGTTTATCAGAAGCGGTCACACTTCCTCCAAATCAATCTGTTTTGGGTCAGGGCTGATTGTGCAGTTGGTGGCTATCAGTTGTCCGTGTTGCAGGGCTTGACCTTACATATGCGTCACTAGTTACCTGAGCTGCTGAGTCGCATGTGAAGCTTACTCACATATGGTGAGCTAAGCACTACCAAGCTTTGTTAGGTTACACGCTGACTGCTGAATTGCTGTTGTCTTTTTTAGTGAGGTAAACATTGATAAAATCTGTGTAGACTGCCTATGTTCAAATTAAGGCCTGTGTCAGTCTGAGCTTACACATTGATCGGGTGATACAGGCTAATCTGTTAATGCTATCACATCTGTTTTCATCTGGCACTAACTTCATTACATGTCTTATCCTATTTTCCAGTCAGACTCCTCGGTTACGATAACCTGTGCAAACGGAAAGTGGAACAAACAGGTATCATGTGAGCCTGTGGATTGTGGTCTGCCAGACAAATATCATGTCCACCCGGCTCATTTCAGCTTCCCCGAGGGGACTACGTATGGCAAGAGAAGCACTTTTCAGTGTAAGGAACCTGCCCAGCTCATAGGTGAGATTAATTGCTTTCTATTTGCTCACACATGCATGGACACATTTTTGCAAATAATTCTTAAAGGCCAAGTTCACTGAGAAACTGTTTTTACTTGTTATTTTTGAAATGTGATTGGTCACTCTGAGTTTGACATTTATTTATTTAACCTTTATTTAACCAGATGAGATTATTGAGAACTCATTTACATTTATGAAGATGATCTGGCCAAGAGGCAGCAGCAACAGTCACATAGTTTGCTTAAGACCCAACAAAAACCAATAAGATAAAAACAAAGATCAAAATATGATAAAGCAATTAGACATAAAGACAAAGGCTTGTTCTCATATATGTACAAGAGAGCAAAAGAGACTTAAAACAATATTTAAGTACTCAGAAGCACATTGATCAGAAACTATTGATTGCAATGAATTATCAAAGGTAGATAATGGGATGTAGGTAGTGAGCTTTAGTGAATTTTGCAGCTCATTCCAGTCGTTGGGAGCAGAAAACTGGAATGAGGAGTGGCCAAAGGAGGTGCGAGGTTTGGGAGTAACCATAGAGCTTAAACATCAATTGTGTTGGTTGTTGGAAGTGATGAGTAAAGATATGACGATATTGTACCGATGATTGTTTTGTATTTATATTGATACCAATGTAACAACCTGCGGGAATGGAGTGATGGCCAGCTAACAAGTGAGTACAGGTCACTATGATGAGTAGTGAAAGGGGCACCAGTGACAAAGCAGACTGCTGAGTGATAAATGACTCTGAGTTTATGAAGAAGTTTTTTGGAAGCAGTCCTGTAAATGATGTCACCATAATCTAAGACGGAAAGGATTGTCTTTTTGACCAAGGTTCACTTTGTAGAATGAATAAAGGATGACCTGTTGCGGTATAGAAACCCAATTCTTGACTTGACTTAGAAAGTAATGTATTAATGTGAATGTCAAATGAAAGTGTGCTGCCAAGCCAGATACCCAGATACTTATAAGAACTGGCAAGTTGTAGTTCTGTACCACCCAGAGAAACTGTCCTAGGGTGGAAAGTTGATTGGAGTAAATTACGGTTGAAGATCATGAACTTTGTTTTACTTGTGTTTAAATGAAGATGAAGATTGGAGAAAGGCATGTTGAAGACAATTAAAGTTATGCTGCAAGGAGGACAAAGCTGCATTCAAGAAGAACTGCATGAATATAAAATGGTCTCGTCCACATATAAATGTATATGAGAATGGTCAACAGCCTGAACAACGTTATTAATATATAAAGGTTATAACGCTGTGCCCAGTATTAGTCAGCTGGGGATTTTTGCAGAACAATTCCCCGCCAGAACAACAGAGGGCATAGTGCTATTCTGAGGTATCCTGCCACCATAACACTCATGTATCCGGTCCACGATAATGTATTCACTATTGTGTTTACATTGTTTTAATTTATTTCAGAGACTTTTGAACACGGACAGATTTGTCCCTCCTTCCCCTCCACCTCTTCATGCGAAAGGCACCTCTAAACCCTCATTTCTCGTCTTTTCCATCCACGAATAAAACACTTGCTGTATATCTGTGTACTCATTCAGTCACTGGTGAATAAACATTCATATTTTCAGACTTTTTCTGTGAAGCATTTTTCAATCTGTTCCGTGTCCGCCGCTAAATATCTCAATTTTTTGAAGCGGCAAAGATGGTGCTGTTGACGAATTGTAAAAGCAAACAGCATCCTGACCACGCAATCACAAGCTTGCAGTCTCCGTCTCTTTCGATGCATAGTTAAAATTTGGTGCATGTCTCCATCTTCCTCCGCAAGCCTGTCAAGGGCTTTTGCGTTGACGCATAATGAAATTGCATGTGTCTGTCCTGATGCAGAGAAAGACCTATTTGCCTGCTAAGTAAGATGTTATGGTCTACAGAGTCAAAGGCTTTAGCCAATTTAGCACTTTAAGTGTTGCAGAGACCCATCCATGGCCATTTCTGAAGCCAGACTATATGGGGATAAGAATACTGCTGGGTTCCAGATATTGAGGTAGCTGTTTGTTGACTGTTGAACATGTAGGCTAAACATGAAGATAGTCTATTACCTGTATGGCTGTCGATAGAATATAGGCAGGGGAACGCTCCGCTTGGAAAAGCAAGACATATGCAAGTCACATTGTCAAATTAGCATTCATGGACTCACCCATCTTGGCTCATGATGGAGAAGGCTATGTTGATGTAGCATCCAGGAGAGAGCAGAGCACGTCTCGGTCAATAAAGCCTACCGTTAGCATTAGCAACTCCACAACATGGCAGAACTCCTTTAGGCTTGTGTATTTGTGAAGATAAAATATGAACGTTGCAATGCAAACAAAGACAATGGAAGAGTTGCCCTGCTGTAAGCCAATCAAAAGAGAGATGTCCACATATCAGGAAATAAGACTCCAAAATTATGTATTTTTGTTATGTAGTAAGCATGCAATTCTCAGTCTTGAGCTTAAATGATCTCAGGTGACAAGTGAAAACAGTGAAGAACACTTCAGCCACTGTCCGGTCTAACTGGACATTGGCAAAAGTAAATGTGTTAAAACTTTGGTGCCTTGACTGTCTCCTCAGGGACAAACAACACCCTTACCTGCCTAGAAGATGGTTTGTGGTCTTTCCCAGAAGCCCTTTGTGAGCTCCGCTGTCCCGCCCCTCCTCCAGTACCAAACGCAGTGCTTCAAACAAAGCGATGTAATGAGACGGGCCTAAAAGTTGGCACACTCTGCAAGTACAAGTGCAAGCCAGGTTACCATGTTAAAAACAAACCTAGAAGGTAATAAAAGGAGAGGAAATATTGGTTTGTTTTTTTGGTGAACACAAATGAATCCAGATTAAATCAAAGTCTCACATTGGATTTAATCACCTGTTCCTTTTAGACGTGCATTTAAACGACAGTGCACAGACGATGGCACCTGGCTGGAGGGGGCTTGTGAGCCAGTGACCTGTGATCCCCCTCCTAACATCTTCCACGGCTCCTACTACTGCACCGATGGTTTCCGCTTCGACAGCGTCTGCAGACTCAACTGCTCAGATTCTGCCGGTATTCCTGCCGTTGCTGTCGCAAGAGGCTCTGTCCATACGGTGAGGCTGCTGCACGCTTCCTGCAAGCAGGTCTGTCCATCTCTTTCCCCTCGTTCTATTCGTGCTCCGTTACATTTTTTTTGTCATGTCATTTCTTTTGTCTTTACATTATTTCTATTCTTTGCTGCTTCAAAATGATAACATTTCAATTTTTTAAGCAATTCTTGCAATCTTGAAACTCTATATTATACAATAGTCATGGCTGATGAAAAAAGATTTGTATCGAAAATGTTTTTTACAAACCCATGTGTGTCTTTCCCTTCACAATGCCCCCCCTCAGGCTGTTTGTCTCCTTGTCTCCCTTAGCTCTACTCAATTTGATGCCATGCTAATTAGATTGCTATTGATTTCCAGAATAGCTCTGCCACCACAGACTTTTGAAATGTATACACCTTTTAATCTGTTCTGCCTTCCAGGCGTTGTTGGTCGGACGCCTGATAAAAATTGTATTGTATTTCTCTGGATGCAATGAGACACCGTCTCAATGTTCTTAGCTCGGCAGTGTTTGTGTACCAGTAAATGTGTGTGTTTATGTGAGGATAATTGTTTGTCTGTCAATGTGTGTGTGTTATTTTCAGGGTCTGGGGTCCAATGTGATCCGCTGTAGAAAAGATGGAAACTGGACTGGGTCATTCCGCTTGTGTCCAAACAGTAACGGCCAGTGTTCTTTACCTCAAAACCTGCATTACAGCCTGCAGTACTCATGCAAGCGAGGGCACGGCGTAGGTTTGTATGGATGTTGTACATCTTAGCATTTCTTAGGTGTGTTCTTGCTGTGTCGTGGTTCTAATTCCATGCTGTCGTTCTAATTTTAAAACACAGAAACAGTTTCGTTACATGTTTTTTCGCTACGTTTCGTCTGAGGCTGCAGACTTCCTCAGGCTGACGCTGATGGTGGCGTCACTTCCTTCTCCGTTTATCCGCAGGCAGCAGAGGACGTTGTCGCCCTCTACTGCCCGCTCTCCCCTCTCCGACGATGCAGTCCCATGCGCGGTCCAACGTGTAAACTCCATCATCCCTGTTCATGGTCCCACATCCACGTCTCCTTATCTCGATTGCTTCTTTTATCCATCTTTTGTATTTTTGTTGTTCGGTGTTTATGATCCTTGTGTTGTCCCAGTCCTTTATATGGTTTTCTCTTATGCAGGGATCTGTTACGGCTGACTTCTTTATTGTGCTTTCTGCTTCTTCTTTTGCTGCTCTTGTGTGTTTTCGACTTGCCTCTTTCTCGCACTCCTTTCTATGTTCTATTGTTCGTGTGTTGAGTTGGCGTCCGGTTTCTCCTATGTATGTTTTACTGCAGAGTTTGCATGGGATTTCGTAGATGACTCCACATTTAAGTCCAGCTGGTATCTTGTCTTTTGGGTGTACTAGTCTGTTTCTAACTGTTGTGTATGGTTTTGTTGGTGTGTTTTTGTTGTGTTTTTTCATTGTTGCTCTTATTTTTTCCGTTATGCCTTTGATGTATGGTAGGGTTATCACTGGTTTTGGTTCTTGTCTTCCTGGGTTTCTGGTTCTTTGCTTAGGTTGTTCTTTTCTTTCTGTTTTTGTTTGCCGTTTTCCTTTGTTTATTGCCCATGTCGGGTATCCGCAGGTCTTTAAAGCGTGTTGTATGTGTTTGTCCTCTTGTTTACAGTCTCTTTCTTCAGTTATCATGTTTGATTGGTGATATAGTGTTCTGATTACTGACATTTTGTGTATGATGGGGTGTTCTGATGTCCATAATAGATATTGGTCTGTGTGTGTTGGTTTCCTATATGTGTTTATGTTTAGGGTCCCGTCGGTCTGCCTGGTGATTTTCATGTCCATAAATGCTATGCTGCCTTCTGTTTCTAACTCATAAGTGAATTTTATGCTGCCTGTGTCGTCATTGTTTTTTAAGTGTTGTGTTAGTGTTTCTGTTTGTCCTTTTGGTATGATTTCCAGTATGTCGTCTACGTAGCGTTTCCATAGTTTTATTTTGCAGTTTGGGCGGGCAGTGGCTATGGCTTTTTGCTCTAGGTCTTCCATGAATATCTCGCACAGGGTGGCTGATAACGGGTTACCCATGGCGAAGCCTTCCAGTTGTTTGTATATTGTGTTGTCATATGTGAAGTAAGTGGAGTTAGCTACCAGTCCTATCAGTTGTGCTAAAAACACAACATAAACACACCAACAAAACCATACACAACAGTTAGAAACAGACTAGTGCACCCAAAAGACAAGATACCAGCTGGACTTAAATGTGGAGTCATTTACAAAATCCCATGCAAACTCTGCAATAAAACATACATAGGAGAAACCGGACACCAACTCAACACACAAACAACAGAACATAGAAAGGAGTGCGAGAAAGAGGCAAGTCGAAGACACACAAGAGCAGCAAAAGAAGAAGCAGAAAGTATAATAAAGAAGTCAGCCGTAACAGATCCCTGCATAAGAGAAAATCATATAATGGACTGGGACAACACAAGGATCATAAACACCGAACAACAAAAATACAAAAGATGGATAAAAGAAGCAATCGTGATAAGGAGACGTGGATGTGGGACCATGAACAGGGATGATGGAGTTTACACGTTGGACCGCGCATGGGACTGCATCATCGGAGAGGGGAGAGCGGGCAGTGGAGGGCGACAACATCCTCTGCTGCCCGCGGATAAACGGAGAAGGAAGTGACGCCACCATCAGCGTCAGCCTGAGGTAGCCTGCAGCCGCAGACGAAACATAGCGAAAAAACATGTAACGAAACAGTTTCTGTGTTTTAAAAATAGAACGACAGCATGGATCTTAGCATTTGTTGGGATAAAAGTAACTCTTTCATCTGGATGTGATTTTGGCGTACTTTCATTTGTTTGATGTTTCTGTCCCACACACAAACAGGTGAGGAGTGTGAGCTCTCGTGCAGAGAAGGTAACAACGAGGTGGTGATTCTCCCTAGCAACATGACAGCAAAAAGTGTTTATAAGGAGCACTGGAGAAACCCACAGAAAGTCCAGGTATGTTGTTATGTGTGTGTATTTTTGTCCCCTTCAACACTTCAAAAAAGCTCCACCTTGCAAAGGTTTGTGATCCAAAACCCTACTGGAAGGAATTTCACACATAGTGCCTATATCCTCACTCGATTGCCTACAACACACAGCCCAGACATGTGCCTGACCCAGTGCAATACAAATATTTGCCTGTAGAGCATGGCAACCCTTAAAACAGTTTATTAAATTCTTGGTGGTTGCCTTGTTGCCTCTGGGTTCATTATATACTACCAACCACTGTCCCAAAGACCTAAAAATGCTTTTAACAACTTGAGTAATTGTTATCTTATACCTAAAAAAGGAAAAAAGAAACACATTAATTGGGCAGATTAATGGATTCAGATTTCAGTGATGTTTTTACTCTGTCCAAAAATACAGTAAAAACACAACTTCACATACTTTTACACAAAAACAGTGCTGTGAAAAAAACATTTGTTTATGGTCATCTGAGTTTTGGGCCATAAACCCAGGCCATACTGCATTTTTTATCCATCCTATACAAATCTCCCGTGGAGAATAGAGTCGTGAACAAAAATGGTGAACAACGGTGAAGTCCAGTGTGACCGGGCCAGCAACACCTTATTGAGCAAGCTGATGACTAAATCGTTTGACAGAAGACCTATGACTCAGTCTGCAATCGACCAATGAAAATACATCCAGGGAGTGACACGAAAACTAGTGATGAGTGTGTACAATGCGCAAGTAGCATTAGCACCATTAGCAACAGCTACATAAAAAAAAAAAACATGTGGACCACTCCTTATTTGGAGTTTGGAATGGAGCCCAACATAAAAAATGTTAATGTTAATTTTTTCTTTTCATCATTGTTGTTTTGGGCTAGCTGTGGGTTTATAGTGATTTATAGTGATTGAGTTTGGCGTTAGCGCGAGTCCTGCTAGAGCAAGACATCATGCAGTTTGACTCGCTGTGTGTACTTTGCAACAGCCAAAAAATGTGTGTTGTGACCCGAGCTTAAGATGCCTTGTTTCTCATTGCTGAATGAAAGCATGTGACGCTAAACTTAACCAAGTCGAGCTGAAGTCTTAGGCTTAGTTTAGATTTTGTTTGGAGTTTTTTTTGTTCTTGAATTTCTTTAGAACAGGGCATGATGTGTTGATTTTGGAGACCTTTAAGCCTTCTTCATGTTGTCGGTCAGGTTCTGTTGAAGAATGAATGAAGAGAATGACTCTTTGAAGAAATTTAAATAAGGTGACACAATATATAATTTTCCTTTATGTTTAGCAAAGTATCAATGAGCTGAATTTATTAATCCTAGAGATCCGGCAGTAAGAAGGTTCGAGTTGGGTTTGTGAAATTCACCCAGCTCTCCAAATAATGTGACTAACCATAGTTAACTCACTAGTTTAGTTAAGATATTTTGATTTATTGCTGATCTGAATATTTAGGTCTGATTATCAATCCATCCATTTTCGGCCGCTTATCCAGGTTCAGTTCGCGGGGCTAGTAGCCTAAGCAGGGAGGCCCAGACTCTGAAGGAGGTCCAGACAGGGAAGCCCAGAACCTCTCACCAGCCACCTGGGCCAACTCCTCTGGGGGAATTCTAAGGTGTTCCCTGGCCAGTAGAGACATAGTCCCTCCAGAATGTCCTAGGTCTTCCTTTAGGGTCATCTAGCAGTTGGACACGCCTGGAAAACTTCTCCAACTAGATGTCTGAGCCACCTCAACTGACTCCTCTCTATGTGGAGGAGCAGCTGGATGACCAAGCTTCTCATCTTATCTCTAAGGAAGAGCCCAGCCACCCTGCGCAGATAACTCATTTTGGCCACTTATCCGTGATCTTGTTCTTTCTTTCGCTATGCAAAGCATGATCATAGGTGGGTGTAGGAACTTAGATTGACCTGTAGATCAAGAGCTTTGCCTTCTGGCTCAGCTCTCTCTTCACCACGACAGATCTGTGCAACGTCCGCATCACTGCAGAAGCAGCACCAATCTGCCTGTTGATCTCACACTCCATCTTTCCCTCACTTGTGAACAAGACCCCGAGATACTTAAACTCCTCCACTTGAGCCAGGAAATCATCCTCAACCCGAAGAAGGCTTTCTACCCTTTTCCGACTCAAGACCATGGTCTCGGATTTAGAGTAGCTGATTCTCATCCCAGCTGCTTCACACACTCTCCAGCTGGAGATCATGTTGTAAAGCCAACAGGACCACATCCTCTGTAAAAGCAGAGACTCAATCCTTAGGCTACCAAACCAGATCCCCTCATCCAGTGGAACTGCCCCCGATGTCCACGTGATATTGCAGAGCCATGTCAGCCAACACAACCATACAAGATCCAGAGCCTTAAGGAACTCTGTTCCGTTATTATAATCATTATTTAATCATATTGATTTAGAAATGCTTTACAGCTACTACCTGTCATTATAGTATAGTTCCTCAACACTTTAATCAGCTGGGTCCTGTTAACCTTTGAGGTTTCGATGCCGCGTATGGGCAGGACCTTCTAAGCCAACTTGATTATCCTCATTTTACCTGATTTACATCACTGATTTGCACTAAAGTGTGTTTTATCAAACACACTTTGTTAATAAGGAGGAGCAAATGAGAAGTTAATTCTAATTAAATAGAAAATGTGTGTGTGTGTGTGTGTGTGTGTGTGTGTTGGGGGGGGGGGGGTCCTTTTACTTTTCCCTGCAACAACATGTGTTTTTCTTTAAGATGCACACTGAATCGACTGCTTTTTAAGGTTTGTGTTAAGAGGGAGGCATGGGTTTGGCCACGTGGACAAAAATGATCTGTTTTTATAGATTTGTGTAACTGATATGAAGCCCGACTGTGACATTGGAGGCAGTGGATAGCATCAGAAAAGTTAGTGTGTGTCTGTGTGTGTGTGTGTGTTTCAGTTTATGTAATAGATGTTGTGCCACAGTTTGGAGGTTACCTAAGGTCCACTTCAACACATTTTTTTCGTCTTTCATACACACATGTATAAACACACACTTTTACCATAATCACATGTTCAACTAAACCTGCACAAAGCTGGAATTAGAAAACCTTATGTGAATGTCTGACTCATTAATGTAAGACTAATTATTATAATGCACCATAAAGCAGGCGGTATTTAGTTGTATTACCAAGCAAAAAGAAGGACAAATGATGGAAATGAAAGCTTTAGTATTAGGTACCCACACTGTACTGTAAAGAAATTGAGCCATCAGAAATCAGATACATTACATGCCCTTTGGGAGAGGTAACCACACAAGATAACGGATCTGGAGATCTCAGAATAAATACGTATCAGACCTTGCGTGTGTCAGTGAAACCTTCAGCCAATCCAGGCAGAGCTATTGTGTCAGCGGGATGGCTTACAGACTGAGCAGCTTCAGGGGAAAGAAACTGCAGCGACTGACCCCTTCTAATAGGACCATCCTGTCTCCAATTTGTTTTGTGGTATAGTAACTTTTTCCTGACAAAATCCAGACAATCTAAATGTATCACTATGAGCCAGAGCTGAAAATAAGGCCTGATAATACCCAAATGAAATAAAACTGACTTCCTGAATAAAGTGCATCATAGTATTACAAATATAACCAAAAACATCAAGTTGAGTAAATGATAACTGCTGTCTGGAAGTAAATACAGTTGAGATTTCAGCAGAGGAATCATCTAAGAGCAACAACTTGTTTACTAGTCACGTCAAAATGTGACAGAAAAATAATTTTTATAATGATAAACAACAATTTACTAGCTTATAGATAGATAGATAGATAGATAGATAGATAGATAGATAGATAGATAGATAGATAGATAGATAGATAGATAGATAGATAGATAGATAGATAGATAGATCACCAAAATAGCTTAAATCACCTTTCTTCCCATTCTGACATTCAGTTTGGAGTTCAGGAGATTGTTTTGACCAGCACCACACCCCTAAATGCATTGAAACAACTGCCATGTGATTGGTTGATAAGATAATTGCATTAAGGAGAAGTTGAACAGGTGTTCCTTATAATCCTTTAACTTCACTTTAACTTCCGGTGGCACAGGAGTTAAGTGCTCGCCTCGTAATCGGAAGGTTGCAGGTTCGAGCCCCGCTCAGTCTGTCGCTGTCGTTGTGTCCTTGGGCAAGACACTTAACCCACGTTGCCTGCTGGTGGTGGTCGGAGGGACCGGTGGCGCCAGTGCTCGGCAGCCTCGCCTCTGTCAGTGCGCCCCAGGGCAGCTGTGGCTACATTGTAGCTCATCCCCACCAGTGTGTGAATGTGTGTGTGAATGGGTGAATGACTGATTGTGTTGTAAAGCGCCTTGGGGGGTTCCAGGACTCTAGAAGGCGCTATATCAAATACAGGCCATTTACCATTTATCTATCTATCTATCTATCTATCTATCTATCTATCTATCTATCTATCTATCTATCTATCTATCTATCTATCTATCTATCTATCTATCTATCTAGATAGATAGATAGATAGATAGATAGATAGATAGATGATAGATAGATAGATAGATGACACTTAAGGTGTCAAATGTAGTAATGTAAATGACTTTGTAAATGTAAATTAACAATGTTGTTATGGCCATGGAAATTTGTTTTTATCTGTGAAAAGCTGGTTTAACTCATTGTGAACTTAGACGCACTACCTAACATTTGCATGTCCCAACCCACTTCAACGTAAGCAGAATATGACCACTAGTCACACTGATGCTAACAACGCTAGCCAAAGCTACTAATTGCAAGGCTACCAACTGTCACACATTGAGCGTGAGATACTTGCATTTGGCTCCTTCTTTCCATGTACTGTTGGGTGGAGGGGAAACGGTCCACACACTTCCTGCTTTAGGATCTTATTTGTTGAAGAAATTTTCATTTTTCAACAGTTTTATAACAAAAGTTGGAAACTGAAAGGAATAATTTAAAAATAATCAGAAACTGAGACACAATCATCATGTGTTTCTTTTCTGATTAAAAGTACTTAGTCTTTAACAATCAAAATCCATAATCATTTGAACAAGGCGTGGTTGGGATCCTTCCTACAGTCTCTGAAAAGTAATACGTATACCCCTAATGTTCTTTGCTGAGCTGGAGGTTGGTATTGCCCATCTTAAATAAGTGATTTTGATAAATTGCCTTTTAACTAGTTGTATTTTGGTTCCTAGTCTGACCCACTTAGAAATCTCTCTTGCTTCTTTACCTCCACCTCTTCCTCCTCTTTTTCCTGTCTCTCTGTCTCTGATGATTATGTGCCCCCAGCCTCCTCCTCCTCCCTCTTTATCAGCAAAATTACCCTGTCGGGCCGGCTGCAGAATTAGTCATTTTCTATATGACACGACCTCGTCTGTGGTGGCGCTGAGATAGAGATCTATTTTTATATGCTATGAGTGCCCCGGGATGCTTTGGAGGGTGAGGATCCTATACGTAGTTAGGGGTGAGACCAGGCCACAATCATGGATTATAATGATTTACAGCCTTGCTGAGAGAGGAACAAAAAGGGAGGCGGAGAGACAGAAAAATAAATAATTAAATAAAACGAAGGAGAAGTGAAATGAAGGAGTTTCTGGATGACATCATCATTGCGGAGGAAAAAAAACAAGAAATAGATAGAAAAAGGGCAAGAATTGCAAAAATTTCACATTCACAAAAAATATGTCTTTATTCCTTCAGCAAAGAGGGGTAAACCATTAATATAACACCTAATATACCAAACATATGTTTGGATTTGGCTAAGGAGTTTTGGATGGCAGAAATAAAACTGGATACTGGTTACTTTCAGCCCTTTGCTGTCCTCAGATGCAATGTTCATTCTCTGCACCTCCAAGCCCTGATCCATATTTTTGCATTGATTTGCTGACAGTACTGAAATCAAAAATACCTTAGTTTGCAGCAACAAAAGAAAAGCATTTAAACTTTGAGAGATATTGGGACGTGGTGGGTCTAAGAGCTGGACCACCTGAGGTCAGACAGTCCTTTGCTGTGGATGGCACTTTTGATCCTGGACACTACATTATGTGTGTAACGAAATGCTTGTACAGTAAATGAAACCTGCTGATAAACTCATGTGTACTTACAAAAAGACAGGCGATACACAGTTCACCGACACACACACATAACCTCTTCAGACTTGTGCCGATTGTAAACGGTTGCATTCTGGCGTGCAGCTTCATATTTTATGCATTCAGTTGCAAGTTGGTACTTTTTATTGCCGTCTTTTAAGACTCAAAATCTCTGAACCTTTTGCCCATTTGGGACTTTGAACTGCTCATAAAAAACAAAAAATACCATTTTTATGAAGTTCTGTCCTTTCAAAATTGTTGTCTTTTGATCTCAGGTAGAACAACAATAAATCAAAAAGACCATTATAAAGAAATATTCCTTTTGTTGTACACAAGCTCTTTTAAAGGGGCCATATCACGTAAAATCCACTTTTTAAGCTTTTTACCATGTGATATTGTTATTTCCTTGTGAAAACAACCCCCACACCTGTATTTGGCAGCATTCATGCATTTCCTGTATCAGCTGCAAATTTATAGTTTTACTTTGAAAATTCTGAAAACACCTGAATGAAAACTACTTACATCATAAAGCATTTCTCCTCTCCCTGAAGCGTCTCTGGTCTCAGTTCTGAAACCTGGATATTCTGTGGAAATTCTGACAAATAACTTCTGCAAAAACACTCCTTTGGGTAATGGCCGAAAAAAACGAGATCGCCGATACAAGCGGCCGAAATGAGTTTTCTCCGCTGGGCGGCTGGGCTCTCCCTTAGAGATAGGGTGAAAAGCTCGGTCATCAGGGAAGGGCTCGGAGAATGCCTCCTGCACACCATCCTGGTGAGCTTTTCTGGGCATGCTCAACTGGGAGGAGACCCAAGGGAAGACCCAGGACATGCTGGAGGGACTACGTCTCTCAGCTGGCCAGGGAACGCATTGGGATTTCTCTAGAGGAGCTGGCCCAAGTAGCTGAGGAGAGGGAAGTCTGAGCTTCCCTGCTTAGGCTGCTGCCCTCGCGACCCGACTCCGGATAAACGGCTGAAAATGGATGGATGGATACTTTCTTTGCTTATTTAGTCAGTGTGAGAACTTGAGCTGAGTAAGTCAACTAAAATGTTGCTTGGAGATGACCAAATTTTGCAGAAAAATTTGCTAATAATCAAAGTAAAATATAAAAATTATGAAATCTGCTTTAGCTGGTTAATAAATTACTACAGACACCATCTAGAGTCTAACCCACGTCAGCACATGGCAAAACAAGATAAAAAGCAGTCACTGTAACCACTGGACTACAAAAGCCAATACAACAGCTGACCTGCCTAAGTTTCTCTTTTAAGTGCTTTTGTTGGAGCGGGGGTGGGCGGTGTTTTACTGAATTGAACCGTTTCATTTGCGGGTATAAATTCAGGCTGACAAAAATAACTCATATTTAAGATAAATGACATCTCAGTAGTGCCGATGGTAACATTTGAGCATACCTTGTGCCTAGCTTTGCTCTCAAAGATTTAAAATAGCATGTGCACAGTTAGACGTATGTGGACTGAAAAAAACAAAAACTAATTCAGAGAGTCAGATGAAGAAGTAGCATTGAACTTAAAATCCTCATTCTTTCTTTTTTTTTTACAGAACATGGTGTGCACAATGAAACTGAAATGGTATCCACCCCCAGAATTACTCCATTGCATCAAAGGATGTGAGGTAAGTGTTAAGTGCTTGACCCCAGTCAGATTTTCGTCTGTATTTGTGGGGTGATAGTCTCATCTATCACACAGCGCACTAATATACTTTCATTCCTTCACCTTTTTTGACCCAAGATGCATCAATTGCAGAAGATAAAGTTTTATGAGCTGTACTTGGCTAAATTACTGTAGACAGGAAATGAATTGGCAGATACTGCGCAAGTAAAACACACAGACCATAGGTGAAGACTGATCTTGTGTCATGCTGTTTTATTGCACTTTCAGGTAGGACTGTGATGTATGTGCATGCATGCTATGCTGGTACGTATTAAAGCAAGCCCTTTAGGTTTCTATCTTAAAATGGCTGATTTTATCTAAATATCTCATCAATTGGGCCTATTAATTTAGCAATCTGATGCAACCACCGACTCCTAATTTAATAAAAGGCCCGCTAAGTCATCCAAATTTGATTGTGTCGACACATGCTATGTCTTCCCTTCAAAACTGGTGCATTCAACTCCTCTTCATGGAAGAATGATGTCATCTACTCAGTTAAAGCCAACTGGATAACCTGATTGGTAACCCTAGCGGTGAGGGTGGGGGCAGCCCAATAAATCACCTTACAGGAGCATTTTGTGCTGTGAATAGTTTATGGTGTCCTCGGTTTGATTTACGGGTCTGGCCGACTAAGGGCTTAAATAGTGACAGTGAAAAATGAGGAAAATTTAATGTATCAGATTCATCAGCAAATACATTCAGACTTCAAAAGAGTCTGAAACGCTCAGGAGAAAACGGGAACAAAAAGCTTTAGACCTTAATAAGCTCAGGAGAAGGTGGTTGGGTTGTTGCCTGAATGTTTGCTTCTGTCTCTGTGCTGCAGCATTTCATGGGAGACAACTACTGTGATGCAATCAACAACAGGGCATTCTGTAACTACGATGGAGGAGACTGCTGTCAATCCACTGTCAAGACCAAGAAAGTACGTAGCACGCTTGCACTTACAAATCAGCGGGATCTGCAGGAAAACAATGTTGTGGACCATGGACATAGTTTTGGGGGGGACATCCCCCCCCCCCCCCCCCCCCCCACACACACACACACTTTTTCCAAAGTAAATTTTTGTCCCCTGCACTTTTTACCATCCAAAAACAATACACAGTATATTAAATAGACACTGGTTGAGCACTAGGACCAAGTGGAAAACAACCGCATGTGTTGAAGCCCGTTTCCCATTAGGACCAAGCAATAAGCTCATTTATTGGCTCTACTGATACTTGCTAATGTGTGATTGGCGGTTCCTGCCACCTGTGTACTTGACAGTTCTGCATTCCTGACATTGCATAAAAGAGCCTCTAGGCTGTAGTTTTATACCCCCTCACGGTCCTCATGCCGGTTTTGTCCTCCCCCACTTCTAAAGTCAAAACTACGTCCATGTTGGGTACAAACTGATAAATTGTCTATAATGGAATTTTAGTTATTTGCAGTTTCTTTTTTTTCTTTTTCACTTCTTTTAAGCAATGTCCTTCTTTCTTCTTGTGCCCAACTTGAAGCTGCAGTAGCAAATCTACAAAACAAGCTAGCTTTAAAACACAAACATGGTCAATGAACTTTCACCCCTCTCATCATATCATCCCCACGCCACATCTGCCGGAACTGGAACCCACATTGCCACAGGGAACAAGAGAGTGCTAAACACCATTCGCCATTTTCTTGGTCCAAACGTCTTTTGTTGTCCATGACTCATGTTTTCCTCCAGTAGTTTATCCTAAAGTTTAGGTGGTAGCAGCTGTTTCTCCTGCTCTGATATTTTTTGAGCGGAGACCCTCTCACATCAGTGTTCTGTTGCACAGCGTGTGAGTGCGTAATAAGTGATGATCCAGGGAAGTGCAAAAGTAAGGTGGTTTAGCGAGACCGCCAACCGGATGGTCTAATCGTTGCTTTTGGTCTGAGCCATGTTATTGGTGGAGGTTTTTAGACAAATGCGAGAGAACCATTTCCTAAAATTTTTGTGTTTTATAGATTTTTTTCTCAACAATATATTCAGAACTTTGTTAAGAGGTTTGAAAAATAATGTTTTTTAAGCTAGCTTGTCTTCCCGATTTGCAACCGTAACCATACGATCTGCACAGATTTGAAAAAATCCTAATCTAAATAGTTAAATCCTGTACAAAAGACGTGGTGCATCATCTCATCTCACATGGGGGGGGGGGGGGGGGGGGTGGGGGGGGGGGGGGTTCCACAAAAATAAACAATCAATGATGAACAAGAGTCTGCAAAAAACAGAAACACAACAATACAACGGGAGCAAGCTATCACTGTGTCAACTTGATGAGGAAATATAAAATCAACACTGTTTTACTGAACAATCATGATAATAAATCACAGTGCATTTAGTGCCAACCACAGCCAACATGTCTGTTGAACAAGTCCATACTTATGAGAGCACCGTGTGAGCACCTGTGTGTGTACACACGCTTATATATGTAAGGTTTCTCTATAGGAGCATCCAATAGAGAGTGTGAGGGGCCATAGATCTGCCCCCAAAGATGTGTAGGAGATGGAGGGAGCTCCAAGTCCCAGGGATCCAGGAGCTGCCCCAGAGCACAAGGACCCCAAGGAGACTGCAACCAAAAAGCCCCTGCCCCCCTTGAGAGGCGCAGAGGATTGCCCCAGGGGGCCACAACCAGCAGCTGGCAGAGCCCTGGGAGATTACAGGGGCAAGCCCACAGGCCCGCCCGCAGCCTCCCACCCCCTAGCCAGCCGAGCCGGGACCCAGCGACCCGGGACCCAGGGGTGACCACCCCCACGGGGGACCCAGCAGAGCCCAGGGACCCAGACCCCACCAGGCAGCCACCGGTACTGATCAAGCAGATGCCAAAAATCTTAAACCCCCTAACCCAGGAGCCACGAACACTCAGGCAGACCAAGGCACCACACTCCACACCAGGTGTGTCAGGGGGAGGGGAGACGAAGATGTATAACACCAAAACAAGTCCCAGCAGAAGGGAGGAGTCAAAGGCCCCACCTGACATATACAGTCATACACAGACACAGTCACACACTCCGTCCCTCATGCTCACACATACACATACAACCTAAGACTTACAAAAATGCACGCCAGACACCCATTCATGCTCCCCATACACACCCTATTCACTCTGGTCCCGGTACTGCTGCACAAAGGGGACAACCATCATCGGTTCCCAGAGTTCAACCCTTGCTGCTTGGGTGTTGACGAGCAGGCTCCCCAGCCCAACGTTGTCTTTTCTCTAAAGGAATCTCCAGTTATGATAGCATGCTAAGGAGAACCTAACTTGTTGAGATTAAATATGTGCACATTTTTTCATTATGGTCAAAATAAGAGTTGCACAATATCCAACAGACCAATTGTAACTAGCAGTTTGATCTTTAGGAAACTTCATACATTTTCAGAAACAAATGTTTTTTATTTTATTTTTTATTATTTTTTATTATTAGATAATCGCTGTAAAATTTTATTTCCAAACACTAAAAAATAATCACAGCTCTTATGGTATTTCAAGGTTAGATGAGCGAGAAGGGAACACAAAAAGCCTTAAGAGTAAAATATGACCTGGGCATGAGCTAAATAGAACATTTAGGAGAAAGTTTAAGTGTTTGATGCTAATTTTTATTTGTTGTTGTTAAATGTCAACTTTACTTGTATTTTAATACATTTGCAGTGCACCTGTTTAAGATGTAGAAATTAACTAGAGGAGAAAATTGCTTCAGACTGTAGAGTTTGGAGCAGGTTTGCCCAATTTTGGTCCTGGAGGGCAAGTATCCAGCAGGTTTTAGTTTTAACACTGCTTCAACACACCTTATTTCCATCAGAAGGTGATTAACAGGCTTTGGCAGAGCCTGATGAGCTGCTGCACATGTGATTCAACCACTAAATCAAGTGTGTGTGAGCAGAGAAACCTCAACACCTGTTGGATATCAGCCCTCCAGGACCAGGGTTGAGTAGCCCGTTTGAAGCCTTATTTCCTGATATTTGGACATCTCGCCTCTGACTGGCTAACAGCGACGGGAGTCCACAATAACACACGTCTGAAGGAGTTCTGCTGTGTTGTAGAGCTGCTAATCAATCAATCAATCAATCAATACTTTATTAATCCCAGAGAGAAATTAATGCTAAAGTTTAGTTTCTACTAGCCGAGACATTCACTGCTGTTTCCTGGATGCTAAACCAAAGTGACCTCACTTTTGATGTGGCTTTGCTCCTGTTGATTGATGCTATCTCATCTACTGTACGTCTTTTGACTCCAATAGTGCAGCCACTTATTCGTGCGTAACTCATAGATTTTTTAAAGAGCCCTCTGGGGAAGTAGATTGAACAAGTGCACCAATATGAGTTTGAAGTGGGGCAAAAGACATTTGGCCACAGGTTGTGTCAGAGATGATGTGCATAGTAGTGGTCCTTATATTAAAGAAAGGCATGATCTGAGCTTCTCGTGATTTTATGTCAAGTAACAAATTTGTTTCAGGTCTTTGAGAAGTTTGACATTTTGGCCGCTGTTTCAAAACTGGTTTAAACCAAGTCAAAACCAAAGAGAATAATACATATATAAACATTTACTGTTCTACTCTATTTTTAGACCTAAAACTCAACCAGTTTTACATCAAGTCTTATTATCTGCATCCGGAAATCCTCCGCAGACCTGGGGCTTTTTTTGTAATAGTTTTTCAATTCTCTCAGCTATTTTTAGATTAGCAGGACCTCATGGACAAAAACATGACATTGATCCTTACTGACACAAACACTTTTTGAAACTGCTTGAACAAAATTTTCAGCAACAGTTAAAGACATTTAAAAATATCCAGAAAATTTTGTTTTAGCAAAGTAAAAACAATTAGTTCCTTTTTTGAAGAGCCGTGTGGTGAATGTAGAATAACTTTGGTGTGAGCTTGCCTTTGGTCTTTGTGGTGTTTCATTGTGATGAACTCAAATTAGCTTCACAGCAGTTGACTTATGAGATGGAGTGATTAATCTAGAACAATCAGCAAGTTGACTAATGGGTTGACTCATAGTTTACTGACATGATTACAGCAGTTTCTACTTTCATGCAAATATATTTTTTTATTAGTGCTCAGGTCCTCTACCAGAGGCCTGGGAGCTTGAGGGTTCTGTGCAGTATCTTAGCTGTTCCTAGGACTGTTCTGGACTGAGATGTCTGATGTTTTTCGTGGGATCTGCTTTAGCCACTCCTCCAGTCTGGGGGGTTATTGCCCTGAGTGCACGATGACCACGGGCACCACCAATGCCTTCACTCTCCAGGCTTTCTCAAGTTCCTCTTTGAGGCCCTGGTACTTCTCTGGTTTCTCATGTTCCTTTTTTCCTGATGTTACCATAACTTGGTATCGCCACATCAACCACAACGGCTGACCTCTGTTGTTTGTCCACCACCACAATGTCCGGTTGGTTATTACCAGAGGGTGATAATCAAGCTTCCCCATACTGCTATCAAAACTATTCCTTCTTTTGATTTAAAAAATGTTTATTTTCAGAAAACTGTGGCATTATCAATGGCTGATGGTCTGTTTCAGCCAATAGAGCATTACTTCTGGCACTTTAATCATTTATAATAGATTTAAACTTTATTTTTTACACAAACAATTTATTATATTGTGCTCATGTTGTTAATGTAAAAAGGTTGTAATGTTATGTCGTTACATGATTGGAAATAACAAGGAAAAAAGTTTATGAAAGTATCAGTCGGCTTGATTTTAATACATAAACGTTTTACTAAATGGTGAAATATTGAAACATTACATACTGACTTTCACAGCCTATCAGAAATAGATCATCCTAAGAGTCGCTGTTATGAACGGAAAAACTGAACATGTTATGTTAAATGCCACCCACATTAAGTCGATTATGGTTTTAAATAACGTGACCAGATTCTAAAAGACATTATCTCATTACTGGTATGTGAAAAAATCTAGGGTTTTCCACTTCTG